TCAAGCAATTGTTAATCTGTTTTCTCTCACTATTGATTAGTTTTGCATGTTCTAGAATTTCATATAAATATCATCATACAGTATATACTCTTTTGCGTTTGGCTCTTTCACTCAACATGTCTTTGAGATTCATCCATATTGCTGTGTGTCTCAGTAGTTTGAGTCTTTTTATTGCTAAGTGGTGTTCTATTGTATGACTACAACTATTTGACTAGTTACCTGTTGATAAACATTTCGGTTATTTACAGTTTTGGGCTATTATGAATAAGGTTGTTCTGACCAACCTGTGTACTGAGATATATTTTAATTTCTCTTGAGCATATAATTTCTGGGTCACATACAAATTCTAATTTAACTTTATAAAAACAGTCAAACAATTTTCCAAAGTGGATGAATTTATTTTACATCTCACCAACGCAAACCTACTATCTTGACTTTTTATTTTCCATTTTTTTCTATCAGTTGTTTAGTTTTCTATTCCTGTCTTCATTTGAATCAAGTATTCTTTAGTATTCCAGTTTCTCTATTGGTTTTTGTGTATGTGTGTGACTGCTCTAGGGATTATGACATACACCATTAACTTACCACATTAGACCTTCAAATATTATACACCTTCATATGGAATATAAGAACATTACAACAATGCACTTTCACATTCCCATATCGTCCTTTGTGTTGCTGTGATCATACATTTTTCTTCTACATATATTATAGAATCCACAATATTTGCACTCCCATATTGATCACAGCACTATTCACAATATCTAAGATTTGGAATCAACCTAACTGTCCATTGACAGATGAATGGATAGAGACACTGTGGTAAATATACACAATGGAATATTATATAGCCGCCAACAAAATGAAATCCTTACATGTGCAACAACAGGGATGAAACTGGAGAAAATTATGTTAAGTGAAATAAGCCAACACAGAAAGACAAATCTCACACGCTTTCACTCATTTGTGGGAGCTAAATATTAAAAACAGATGCTCTCATGGAGACTGAGTAAAATGATGGTTACCAGCAGTTGGGAAGGGTAGTGGGGAAGGGGGGGATAAAGTGGGGATGGTTAATGTGTGCAAAAGCATAGTTAGACAGATTCTACCCAATGAACAATATTTGATAGCACAACAAATTGACCATCATCAATAAGTTAGGATATACTTTAAAATAACTATATTGGAATTGGAATGTTTCTAACACAAACAAAAGATAAAGGCCTGAAGTGATGGCTACCCCAATTATGCCGATTTGATTAATTCACATTGTATGCCTGTATCAAAATATCACATGTAACCTGTAAAGATATACAACCATTATGTACCCATAATACGTACATTTTTAAAAATTTCATTCTAAAATGTATTCATCAATGCAAAAGAATTCAGGAAAAGAGAAGAGAAGAAAGGAAAAAACCTAAACCAAACTGTATCAGTAATTAATCTTTACGGACTAAACTTTCTAACTAAAAAACGCAGATATTGTCAGACTGAATAACAAAAGCAAAATCCAACTGTATGCTGTCTGTAAAAATACTATAATTAAAACAATACAGTGAGGTTGTAAATAAATGGATAAAAAAAGACAAACCATGAAAATAGTAAGCATAAGAAGGGTGAAACAGCTACATTAATATCTTATAAGCTTCAAGACAACAATATTACCAGAAATGAAGAGGGAAACATCAGAATGATAAATGGGTCGAGTCATCAGAAAAACAAACCATGTGTAAGTATCTAAGAGTAAAGCTTCAAAATGTATGAAACAAAAAATTAACAGAAATAAGAGAGAATAGACAATTCCACAATTGTACTAGGGATATTTTAACATCTCATCTCAGCAACACATAAAATAATCATATAAAAAAAAAATGAGGGGAGACATAGATGATCTGAATAACACCATCATCCATCTTAACCTGATATATATATATATACCATTTATACCCAACATCTGCAGAATATACAATCTTTTCAAGTGTGTTTACCAACAAAGACTACATGCTCAGCTATAAACAAGCTATAACACATTTTTAAAAATTCAAATTATGAAGAGTATTTTCTATAATTGCAATGAAATTAAACTAGAAATCAAAACAAATAAGATATCTAAGAAACTTCCTAAAATCTGGCAATTGAAAAACACAATCATAAATGACTAATGTGTCAAAGAAGAAATCCTAAGAGAAATGAGAAAATATTTTGAACTAAATGATGATGAAAAAAGAAAATTTCTCGAATGCAGTCCTTACAGAGAAATTTATGACTTCATAGAAAAACAATAGTTTATAGGGAAGGAAAAAAAAGAGAAAGGTCTAATATCAGTGACCTATGGTTCCAATGTAAGCAGCTAGAAAAAGAGCAAAGTAACTCCAAGTAAGGAAAGGGAAGGAAGTAATAAATTTTAAAAAGCAGAAATCAACAAAACAGAAAAACAAATAGTGAAAATTAACAAAGACAAAAATTACTTTTGAAAACATTAACAAAATTGATAACCTACACTGATAAGAAGAAAGAGAGAACACAAATTACCAATATCAGGAATGAAAGGAGGGTTATTACTACAGAATTTAGAAACATGAAAGGTATAAGAAAGGAACATGGAAACTTTAAACCAAATTTGATAATTTAGGGAACATGGAGAAATTTCTTAAAAGTACAATTAACTAAAACTGCCACAAAGGAAAATAAAATGTGTATAGTCATATATATATATATACGTATTAGAAAGAATTAAATTTGTTATTAAAAACCTTCCCACAAAGAAAATTTCTGGCCCAGACAGTCGGGCAGGTTGGGGGGAAGGGGATGGATATACACATAAATGAGTGTGATGCACAACAACTGGGGGATGGATACACTTGAAGCTCTGACTCAAGGGGGTGGGGGACAAGGGTAATATACGTAACCTTAACATTTGTACCCCCATAATATACTGAAATAAATAAAAAAATAAATAAATAGGGTCTAGGGCAAGGAGATCAACAGTCAAATTTTCACCTAATCCAAACTCCAACATTAAGATGAATAATAAATTTTACTCAAAGAAAAAATGAGCAGCAAAAATTTCAATCAGCATATTTAAATGCAAGTTCAAATACACTGACATTATTCAAATTTTAACTGTATGTATTTGTTCGATTTATAAAGTCGTCCGAAAAATATTATGTTATTAAGTATGAAATGTCCAATTTCCTTAAGTACTAAGTTTGACAGCTGGTATCTCTGACATTTCACTTTCACACTTCTTGTTTTATTTTTATCATGAAAATATAGCTTCGTTCTTTCAATTGCACAGTTTGGCTTGTGATTATCTTTCAAATTTTTTTTAGAGCAATTTTTGTTAAACCACAAGTAAGACCAAAATTTGTGTAATTTTCAAATATAAGTTCTATCATAGAACCAGTACAGCACAGGTCGAAATATCAACAAAATGTTTGGGAAGGATGTGGCTAGTGAATGCACAGTATTTTGATGGTTTGAGAAGTTCTGTTCTGGTGATTTTAATTTTGAAAATGAGGCACACAGGCGACCTGAGACCAAGGTGGATAATGAGCTGACAGCTATAGTGGAAGTGAATCCATCTCAACGTATGCATGAATTAGCAGCAAGGTTTGACGTTACTATTCCAATATTGGACCATTTGAAACAAATTGGCAAGGTAAAGAAGTTGGATAGATGGGTTCTGCATGAATTAAACCAGCATCAGAAGAGAAATTGTCTTGAAGCTTGTCATTCTTTGCTGTTACAACATAAAGGCGAACCATTTCCACACTGTGTTTTTACATGTGATGAAAAATGGATTCTTTTTGATAATTGCAAGCATTTGGCACAATGGCTGGATAAAGATGAAGCGCCAAAAGACAGTCCAAAACCAAATATATATCAAAAAAAGCTAATGGTGTCTGCTTGGCCATTTTGTGGTCCAGTACTGGTATTATCCACTACAGGTTTACAGAGGATGTCTACTGCAACCAATTAGATGAATGATGAGGATGCTTGCAATTGTCTCATCGCAGACACAGGCCAATCCTCTTGCAAGATAATGCTCAACCACATGTTGCATAAACAATGCTGCTCAAACTACATAAGCTGGACAGGGAAACTCTTCTGTCATCCATTGTATTCACTAGACCTTGTACCAACTGACTACCACTTCTTCCAGGCTTTTGACCACTTCTTGCAAGGAAAAATATTCAATTCTCAACAAGCTGTGGAAAACATCTTTCGTGATTTCACTGCCATTCGCTCTTCAGGCTTCTTTGCTGCTGGCATAAACCAGTTACCGTTAAGGTGACAAAACTATGTTGATAGTTCAGACACATACTTTGATTAATTGTAATGCTTCTTGTTTGAGATACAATAAACTAAACTTTTGATTCAAAATGGAACATTTCATATTTAATGACCTAATATTTCATCTATTTCTAAGTAAAATCCAGTTTTTTCTGTTAGAATAAAACAAACTGCAAAGAATGATACTTCAGAGTTCACTCTGAATTTCTAAAGTACAGATACTCCAATAAAAACTCTTTAGTCAACATCATGAATTATGTCTTCCCTTATTATTATGAGACATCCAGCAACTGGAAGGCCTAATTTTTAAGCATATTGTTTTCCATTTTCACTTAGAAGTTATAAAAAGAGAGGGAAAGTACTTTGAATCCATTACAGCACTAAATGGAAATGAATAAGCAAATAAAAGAAATAAATGTTGTATAACGATACAGATGAGAAAGAGAAATCTAGACTTAAAGAAATAAGTAATAGAAATTGTAATGAAGTTAAGGCCGGTGACCAGTTTCAAAGTAAAGGATGTATTTTAAAAATCAGAAAATGTTTTAAAGAAACATGCTTCTGTGTAAATACAGAGAAAACCAATTTAAGTTTTAAAAAGTATAGTGAGAGCAAATCACTGGAAATTTCTAAGACTTAGTCAAAAAAGCAGTGAATTTAATTCTTCCAGAATAAGAATAACCACATAAAATAGAGTTTACCTTTTCAGATTCACCATTGCCCAGGGAATCCCAGTAGGTGTGTTAAAGGCAGGAAGGAGTTTCTCAGCCAATTGCACAGCTTTACTCTTGAATATCTGAAATAAAAACATGAATATTCATAAGTTATAGCTATCAATAGGATTTACTTATTGCTATCTCTCATTGTATGCATACCACAATGTACTGTGTACATAGAAGCATGGCGGGGCGGGTGAGGGGGAGCATCTCATTGGTATCACAGAGCATACAGCAATCAGACAATATGTTTACAAACTGGATACTGAGGAAAGCTAGCCAACATGCAAAGGCCTGAAACTACAATTAGTTGAAAAGAAAGGACATGGTCTTAGTGTTGATATTACCTGTATTTTCAGCTGGTAAAAAATCTAAGAGAAAACATTAGGCTATGGAATTTTTATCCAAAATATACAAGTTTAGTTCAAATATTAAAACAAAAGAAAAATGTAACCCAATTTGGATAAATGTCCTTGAATTACTGTATACATGCTATGTCTCAATATTTTCCTTCAAGGTTTAACAACATTATAAAAAGGAAAGGAAATATTTGAGTTCAAGTTCCAAGTTTACTTAGAGAGTTACAAATGTCTCACCTCTCAGTCCCAACTGCTTTTTTGGTATCTAAAACAAGAAAACTGCCTAAATATCAGTGGTTTCCAAACTTTTTAAATCATGCACTATCATCAAGATGTAGATAGCAAAATTTCTACTATTTTCTTAGCATATCCCAATAGATTGGTTTGTGTACTCTACTTTGGAGTTCACTGACTTAGAGACTCTAAACTGAGACTTGGTCACAATGTTCTATTAGGAAAAGTTGCACGCTCTCCAATATGCCTCAAGCCTACCCCTTCTCAAATGGATTCCAAATTGATTGGTTATTTAAAGTTCTACCTTTGATAAAATATTATTAGATTACTCTAATAATAATTAGTTGAAGGTTGAGAACAGATCAAAGTTTTGAGTTGAGATTACATTAAACAAAGCTTACCAACATTACAGGGGGTAGAAAATATTAGATAGGAATATGTGTAAGAAGATAAATATGGCATTAAGATGTTCCAAAGTTCTTTAAATGAGGCAAAAGCTACTTAGCAGAACTTTTATTTAGATATACTTATGCATCTGCAATTTACCATTTCCTTCAATTCCTCCCTCATTTAACATAAAAACCCCAAAGAAAAACATAACAATTTAAGGTAAATGTTTTAATAATTTACTCATATTCATCTCATTAATTCAGAAAAGCAAATGTAAAATCAGTTCCCTCTGCATTAATATTTACATGTTAGTAAAGACAAGTTATGTTACATAGTAAACACTATTGCTTCTGTTTACAATGAAGATAAAAGGGACCAAGTTTTTTATCTCAGAACTAATATTAGTATTATATATATTTTTGTATCACATCTTTGCTACACATATAAAATATTAAAAATGGTAAAATAACCTACAAAATATAAATTTTTTTCTAAATAGAAAGCTTTCTCATTTTACTTCCAGCATTAACCAATAACATATTGTCTAATTTCTACTAACTACCTTGTATCATTAATAACAATTAACATACACAATAACTAGTTATAGCAAACAGGTCAAAAAGAACACCCTAACGTCACTGAGAAAAATCTTTTTATATAGTATACTTATCTTAATTTATCCACAAATATATAAACTCCTTAAATATACTATAGACTCAATATTTCCTATTTTCAGACATATTGTGGCAGACAACCGCAACAGCTAATTTAAAACAAATTAGTTTTTACTATGCAATGTAGGCAAATAATAAAAAATCCAGAAAGTATCAAAGTAAAAAATAAGTCTCTTTTCCAGTTCTGTTCCTCAATCACACAATTCCTTCTATAATACAACCCTCAGCTTTTTCAATATCTACTAAATATATTGCACTAAATCAGTTCCATGGTATGCATGGTTCCTAATCATCACATCAAATTCTCATTTCAAGCCCTCCCAGAAATAGAAATTCTGTTGCAGTTTATAGTCTCTGTTTTTAACACAGAATCATATATTCTATTCTGAACTTGCTTCTTTCATCTACTGTTGCACCTTAGAGATCTTTCCAAATCAGTTCACAAAGGGCTACCATCTTATTCTCTTTAGAGGCTGCAGAATTTCCTATTGTATGGACATAATATAATTTATTTAGTTAGTACCCTATTGATGGACATTTGTTTCCACACTATGTGGCTATATAAGGTAAATTCCAAAAGGGGAGTTGTTGTATCAATCAGTATATGCATTTGTAATTTTGATGAATTACTGACAATTTGTCCTCTACACATTTTGCTAATTTATACTCCTACCAGCAATTTACATGTGGCTGTTTCCCAGTATCTTAGTTAACAAAAAAGTTATCAAACTTTTGATTGCTACCAATCTGATATTTGAAAAATATACTCTATTGATACTTTTTTCATTTTTTTATTATGAATGTGGCAGATACTCAAAAACCATTCAAACCCTCTTTCAACATACTTTCATTTATTAGAGAATAGAAACCTACATATAACACTTCCCAGACACCACTCCAACTAAGGGTTTAGATATGACAAGGCACTGCTAAGTATAAATAAATATGAAATCTTTGGAAGGAAGAAGTGAGCGAGTGGATGCAGTGGTCACATGATGGAAAGCTGCTTGTCTTATAAAGCACTGTGATAGAGGTATCTTGTTTTTCTGTAGTATCTCTAACAGAAGTTCTAGTGACTGGTCCCTGGCTTTATAGACACCAACTGGGCAGTGAAGGCAATGGAGTTGGTACTGAATCACCTACATGGTATGCTTGGGCATTTCTCCTGGCTGCATGGTTCCACTTGTGTAACAAAAATACCTCATATCCTAGCCCTCCCAAAGATTCTGCTAGTCACTACCCTCTGATAATAAATCACTAGCTAAAATGGATGCTGTTTTCTACAACTAGGACCCTCGACTGATAAAATGATGAAAGTGAATTGATTATTCACACGTTTAAGAGTCTTAGTATTTAAATGAAGATTTTTAAAACATTTCATTTATTTATAAAAAATTTTCATGAATTCAGTGTCCATCAAATAAAATCTCAAAGTTATTTTTATCAGAAAAAAATACAGATAATGGAACTAGGACAAAACTGGTTTTAGGCTTAGAAGAATTAAGGAAGAAACTGACCCTAGGCTTAGAAGAATTAGGGAAGAAACTGAGGTCTGGAAGAAATGGAATTAAATATAATTGTAGCAAGATTATGAAGAGCTTTAAAGCATTAAGTCATGAAACTTAAAGTAACACAATGGGTAACACAGAACCAATACAGATTCTTGAGGAGGGAAGGGATATTAGAATCTACATATGCTTTTAATTTTATTAGATTATCTAAATTATTAATACTAATACTTTTGCAACCTATTCTCAACCTAGCAGTCAATGTGACAATGTTAAATAGAAGTCAAGAGGTTAGAACTCTCAAATGGCTCCCTATCTCACACAGAGTAAAAGCCAGTCCTTAAAAGGGGGGCTTAATAAACCTTTACAAGAGATGAATCCCCATTACCTCTATGACTTCACCCCCCCTTCGTGCACTGTCCCTCACGCACTCTGCCAGCCTCTTTTGCTGTCCTTTGAGAATGCCAGTTATGTACTTCGCTGTGTTTTCATTTGCTGTTCCTTTTGACTAAATGTTCTTGCAAAGGATATCGTCTCTCTTACCTCCTTCAGGTCTTTACACAAATGTTACCTCTGCACAGACTTCCTGACCATCTTATTTGAAATTTAAAACTTCTTATCCCCCTTTGCTGCTTTATTTTTCTCCTTGGGACTTACTACTAATAGTGTATGTATAGTCATGTGTAATGATGACAGGGATATGTTCTGAGAAATGCATCATTAGGCCATTTCATCACTGTGTGATCACAGAGTGTAGTTTCACAAACCTACATGGTATAGCCTACTACACACCTAGGCTATATGGTATAGTCTATTGATTTTTAGGCTACAAAACTGTACAGTATGTTACTGAATACTGTAGGCAGTCATAAAGCAGTGGTATTTGTGTATTTACACATACCTAAACATAGAAAATACACAGTAAAAATACAGTATAAAAGATTTAAAAAATGGTATACCTGTATAGGGCACTTACCATGAATGGAGTTGCAGGACTGGAAGTTGCTCTGGGTAAGTCAGTGAGTGGTAAGTGAATGCGAAGGCCTAGGACATTACTGTAGACTTTATAAATACTGTACACATTTGGGCTATACTAAATTGATTTTTAGAAGATTTCTTAGCTTACTGTAATTTGGTTACTTTACGAACTTTTTTCTTTTTCACTCTTTTGTTATAACACATAGCTTAAAACACAAACACATTGTGCAGCTATACAAAAATATATTCTTTATATCCTTATTCTGTAAGCTATTTAAAATATTTTTTATTTTTAAATCTTTTTGTTAAAAACTAAGACACACACATATTAGCCTAGACCTACACAGGGTAAGATTCATCAAGATGTCACTAGATAACAGGAATTTTTCAGCTCCATTATAATCTTATGGAACCACCATCACATATGTGGTCCATTGTTGATTGAGACATTATTATGCAGCACATGACTGTGTATGTGTATACAAACACTCTTTCCCACATATCTATCATGTTTATTGACTACTTCCCCCAAAGTAAAACATAAGCCATAGAGGGACAGGAATTTGTTTTATTAATGTTATATTCTCAGTGCTTAAAAGAGAGCCTAGCATATAGTAGGTGTTCAACATGTATTGAATGAATTAATAAGAGAAAGGGTATAGAGATTTATAATAAACAAGTCTGTTATCTATCTCTTCTCTCTTCCACACCAACTCTACCTCCCTGAGATATGTGATGTTGACAAACAAGAGTTTTAAGGACTTTTTAATATGTTCTACAAATATGTTGGGATAATGATGATAATGACAAACACATATATTAATTCATTTAATTCTCACAACAATCCAGTGAGATATTATTGTATTATTGTAATCCCCATTTTACAGAGTAGGAAACTGAAGTTAAAACAGATAAAATATTTCCCAAGGTCATACAG